CACGTGGCGCAGTGGATGCGCTCACCGATGCTATTCAGAAGGTTGTGGGTTCGAATCCCGTTGCCGACTGCTCTGTCTGGGGTTTTGTCAGGGGGTTTTCCTCAGACATACGTAGCTTCGCATAATGCTAGCATTATGTTGAAATCTACGAGGCAAATGCTGGAGCAGTACTCTCCCCCTCAGCACCCTAACTCCGTTCCCATCCGTAACTTTACCCATCCCTACAATCCCGTTCTCTGGCTGAAGAGGGCCAGGAAGCCCTGAGCAGCCCGCCTCCTGTATCCCTGTAGTCAGGGGTGCCGGAGGAATGAAAAACGTTGGCCTTTTTCCTTTTTTTCTACATTAATTACAATGAAGGAATTTATTGGTTTGTTTTACCCTAATATGTACACTATTACTATTATACACAATTATATACAATAAATAATCCAGGCTATAATAATAATTTGTGTTTTGTTAATTAAAAAAAATAATATTTTTCTGAAATGCATTTGCTTGACCTAATCTGAAAAGCGTTTGAACTTCTCTAAAATGAAGTTAACTTTTCTGAAATACATTTGACGTCATCTGAAATTCAATTAACTATACTCTGTTTTTTAACTAGGAAGACGGATTTAAAAGTTCCCGCAAAAAATCTTAGTTTCTATTGGCTCGCGCTGCGCCCGTTTTACACCCAGGTAAAATTGCTATTGACATGATTTAACTGTCAAATTTAATCGCGATTCTCGTCCGTAACTGTTGTACTTATTTTTGAATTTTTTTGTGTTCTGAGTCCATTTGCATAAATTTTAACAAAAAAAACAGTTCTTTTAAAAACAAAAGTTGATATTTCGCGTCCTAAGTGTACTGGCATTAGTGATGAATTCAACTCCAAGTACCTACCAGTAAAGCAAGCTTGTCTCCTTTGAAAAAACGTAGTCGCTTAAACTTGGGTCATTTTATCAGTCTCCGAGAAGCAGTTTATTATAAGCACATAAACAAATGTTGTCTGATCCCCGGATATGAATTTTGCTACGCTTGTGTTGAAGATTGCATCTACCAGAGGTAACGTAAATAATGATGTAGCTGGTATATATTTGGTTATTAAAGTGTGACACATATTAGGAATATTATTATTGCACGATCTACAATATACCGGATAATAAAAGAATATCGAAGTACTGGGATTGTTACCCCTTCGAAACGTTCCGGTGGTCACAACGCTGTTGCAAATGTGAGCTCTGACGATTGGCGGAATTGTGTGCAACACGTTACTAAGGAAGAAAATAAGATTTGTAGATTGGATGGTCTAATGGACACACTTATAGAACCATTAATTATTTCACTCGAATCGGAGGACAGTGGCAGTTTTAGCGAACTTTCGGAAGACGGTGACTAAATCGCTTATACATAAAGCAGTGAACTGTGCTGTTTAATAATATGACTATAATTCCATTGTTCTGAATTTGTTCAATAACTTAACATTTGTTGTAAATTGTAATGTGGATTGTGTAGTATTACAACTGATAAAAACATTTAAAATTATAATTCAAAATTATCAATGTATTACCTATTTATTATAATTCGCTTTTAAAAGTATAATGTATGCATAATATAAAGGAGTTCTTACCAAATAATAACCCAAAAGCATAAATCATGAAATCTATCCAAATGTGAAAGAAAATCTCATCACGCAACCCACAATACATGTCTGTATAAAATGAGTCTATTATTTTTGTTACTAGATTCTAGTGACATTTCCAGTGTAAATCAGGTTTTTAAATCCGTCTTCCTAGTTAAAAAACAGAGTATAATCTCAAATACTTTTGAAATATTCTGAAATTAAATTTATTAATCTCAATTACAATTGACGTATTCTGCACAACAGTTGAAAAAGGTGTAGTGGCGTCTGGCCATTCAGGTAATAGGAGTGTCGGAGGGCATCACAGACTAGGATTCTGTAGCCGGTCCGTGCAGAGTGCACCTGGAGGGAAGCCCATTTTTATTTTGGTTGGAGCACAAACATTAAAGGTATTTATGAACAATATTGCTCTATCGCGTTATAGTTTTGCCTCTCTCCGTCGTGTTACTCTTTGTTGTTGATAGCCTCGTTATATATTTGAACTGGAGTCGTAGTGTATTTATTTATTTATTGTCGCTCTTGTTCTAGGCCCTCAACAGGCTTACGCCCAATTACAGAGTGACCCGCATATTGCTTTATTATTTATTTCTGTATTGATTTGGTTAAAAATTATTGAACAGAATTTCTCCTTTATAGCTCAAAACAAAATCTGGCAATCTGGTGGAATGATTTTTGTCACATTTTTGGCGAAAAACTCACCTAAAACCAATGCAGTGTAAGAGGGCGTATTATCGTGATGCAAAAACCAAGGGATTTTATTGACTTGTTGCTTATCAGTTGTTGTGGATGGTGGCCTGGGACGCTCTTCGTCTTCAATTCGTCTGCCTTTGAACATTTTGTACCAATCAAATGTTATTGTTTTTGATAGAGCTGCGTTTCCGTTAGCCTTCTGGAACATTATCAACGTTTCCGCAGCGGTTATTTCAAACCAGAAGACAAAATTTAATCGCACTTCTTTGTTGAATAATGTCAGATATTATAAAAATTGAAAAACTCACATTTTGTGTGATGCAAAACCAAGTAACTCAAATACTAATGACATTTATGACATGATATTTGATACGGATGTCTGTAACAGTGCTCTCAACACAAGAAAAAATATTTCTGCGAAAATATTTACCCACGTAATTTAAATAAACAGTTCCCGGGCACTTTTTGGACATAGATGGATGTACCGAAGCGACCCAGAATCTCGAAAGGAATCTTAAACTTAATCCACGAGCTTAATCCATAATGCTTTTTAGAGGTGCCTCTGCAGAAGGTCTTAAGTTGTTCTATACTACTCCGGTGTTTACCTTACGAATTAGGAAAACTGCAGGAAAACCTAATTCGGAGTAGCCGGCAGAATGCTCGAAATTGGCCTCTGCCACAGATGAAAAATTCACCTCAACCAAGGTTCGAACACCCGACCTCCAGATTTATAGCTCAACGCTCTACCATAAAGCCGGTTTCTTTAAGTTGCTAAAGAACGTTTTGAAGATATTCATTCTAATTATAACTCGAGTTATAACTATTCTGAGAGGTGGTTTTTAGGGGAGAAACTGTTTAATAAATCGTGAATTATTTAAAAATGATTTTATAATATTGATTACTCGAATCTACAATTCTAAAATTATTTTCGAATAGGGGTAGGTACTTTTCACCCCAAAAAAGAAAAAGCAACTCTCGACACAGGGTCAACATTGAAGTTATTATGTAAACCAACGTTTCTGATTTCTGATGAATCGCTTTCATTTCTCTGTTTGCGACAAAATTATGCAATACCTACCAAGAGCCGCTCCTTGGAAAGATCAAGATTTGAGCACATAATTGCTCCGATTAGCAGTGGCCTAGCGTAGCTCGTTGGCGCCCGGGAGGCGATCAAGGTTTGCCGCCCTATATTTTAGGAGCTGGTGCATTGGGTTCCCTATCGTTTATTAAAAAAAGAGGTCAAATTTCTTATGGATTTGAGTACTTTTAGAGCGAGCGATTGTTTAGGGAAGAAGAGGGGTTCATCTCTTGACATTATATCTCTAAGCTTTCGTTTGATACCTATATGATCCATGTAGCAGATGAACAACACACACTACAATAAAGACAGAGAGGCTTAACAGCGTATTTTTTCAATTTTTTCTTTGTAATGCGGTAAAAAGGATATATCTAACACTGTTTCTGAAGTCGAATCTAGAAACGCAAGAATTTCAAAGACGATAATGATATTTGAATTACTTGATAGACATTGTTTAAAAGCTGGGGGTAATGACAACAGACGTTTAAACTTTTGTATGTATACTCTCTTCGCCTCAGTTTTTGTCAGATAAGGCATCTTCAAGCCCGTCGATGGTCATCGTCGTTGCTTACGAAATCAAAATTTAAATGTATTTTCGCAAGATTTTTTTCTATCGTTTCCTATAGGTACTACTTTTAGCTATTTTCAAAAGCGGCCTGGGATATTATTGGTAGGTATGACGCTGCTGCCAGCCTGCCACTACTAAAGTGGCGCCCGGGGCGGACCACCCCTCCTACGCTACGCCGCTGCCGATCAGTAAAACGCATACTGTAAAACCATTGATGCGAAAACCTATGTTTTGGGTCTTAAAACGATCGAAAAGTGTAACAGTACTATTTCATTATGAAGTACCTAACTAGAGTCTAGAACATCTCAAACGGCGGCGTGGCTATAGTCGTAGCATTGAACAGCGTGATTTCTAATTTTCAAGCTAATAGTAACACTTTTTACATTTTTAAATTGAAGTATGAGCTCTAATTTTGAAGATGTGAGGGGAAGTCGAAACAAATTCAATGAAAGTAGGTATATGCTAAATGAAAATCACGTAAAATTATACTCAACTTGCCACCGAGAAAAGTTCTTGGCGCCAACACCACTTTCCCTATCTATAAAAACCCGCACCCTCCAAATTCACTACCTTTTCATCCCTAAACAATCCTCATTCAATCACTCCTCTAATCAACTTGATTGGTAAATCTAAATAATTAGAATTACTTAAGCTCAAGATCCACACCCAAAAACTTATTTTTTAAGATAACGTTTAACATTGTGGTTGTATTTGTAGACAAGAAAATTGAAATGTATATTTAAAAATGTAAAAGTGTTATTTACAAAAATTACAGTTATGTCTACACTTTTGGTAACGGCCCTTTTGTTTATGTTGAAAAGGAGTAGTAGGTAGGTAGTTGATAATTTAAAAAGCCGTACTTCAAGTCTGCTATAGGTAAATCAGCATATTTTTTTCTTAACTGAACAGGTAGTTTTACCTGACAAGTGAGTCAGAATAGGTAACCTCAGCAGGTCGAATAAGCGACCGTAGCTTGGCGAGGGGGCCAAAGGAGGCAGGGGCCTACACAACGGTTCACACCGACTGGTGGGGCCCCAGCGGTCATCAGTCTTAGTTCGGACTTTGATGGTTAAACACGTGGAGCTGTCAATGCCAAGTTGATTTTTACGATTGCAGTTTTTATTTACTCGTAACCTTTTAAAGTGACAGTGAAGTGGGATACTTTTTAGCGATGGATTAATTGTTTTAAGTGTCGCCGCTTTTCTTGGATTACTATAAAAGACTGTGCGAATATACGACTTGATTGAAAATGCCGAAAATATTTTTAATCAAAAATCGACTCCATCAGCAACAGCTGCGGCTTTTGGAGTCTCAAAATGCAGCAACGACCAAATCCGGAGATATTCTTTACAGTGGAGGAGAGCCGCAGCCACTATCTCTCATCGTTCATAAGAAAGAAGGTAAGACCAATAAAAATGCCGGGAGACTTCAACGCTAGGTCGAGAAAATAACTCGCTTCGATAGAATCTTTAAATGCACGAATGACGCATTTTTAATGGATCAGAACGTCATCTAAAAGAACCGGTTAAATTTCTTCTTATCACACTTCCTTTATTTTAATGCATTTCTGGAATACCTCGAATCTTTACTGTTATTCATCGCTGTGAAAAACCATTCAAATTCGTAACCTTAAATTACCGTTTTTACTATTATTAAGTATTATAAATTTATACAGCAGCTGCTAACGTAACCTTGCACCGCAAAAGTAGAAATGACACTGACTAGTGACTACAGTATCGTGTACCTTTCGTAATTAATTATAGACGTTAAGTACGTTCAAATTATAAATGCTAGTTGGGAAGACTTCCTGTATATTTTATTACACATGCAGCTGAAAGTCCGCACCGCACGTTGAAGTCTCCACTTAAAATTTCGCATTAATTTTTTGCGAGTCCGAAAACGGAGCAAAACCTTGGAGTAGCCGTTTTTTGTATTCGAAATCAGTGTAGCTATGAACCATTACATTGCTCAAGGCCAATTGAACAAGTAATTCAAAAAGAACAATGCTCTATTATACTCGCGAACAACATTACCTGGAAGCCTGGAACTAAAAAACAAGACTTCGCATGTTGTTTTGACAAAGCTCGCGAAGTTGGTGCAAGAATCCTCGAACGACGACGTGCGTGTCGTATGTTACAAAAGCTCAAGGTTGAATTCATTAGACGCCGCTGCTCGGTCTTTTATAATGACCGTTCGTAAACGTACAACCTACCACCTGAATAACGTAACTGTAATGTGATGTCATGGTCTGTAAAACTGGTATTTGGGGTGGATGGAATTTTTCAGGAAACGTATTGCATAATAATTCCCCGAAGACCCGACGATGTTTGTTGCACCCACCCATCTTTACACACAATTTAGGGTTATTGTAATTTCGTTTGGTTCAATATCCGAAAATTACCTTTTTAAAGTGGTAAATAGGCACCGTGTGAGTTGTAGGTAGTCAACGACAAAAAAAGTTGTCATTGTTCTACTGGTATTACTCATTAATTAATGCCATAGGTAATTATGACAGTTTATTTGATTCCTATTTGATTCTCTCAGTCCTCACGAAAACGCTGAATGCAGCAGGTGCATTTTTAATTAAGAGGGTGGAATAATTAACTGCAGCTAATGCCATAATCGAAAACGTTATTTTTACTGACATTAGTCTTCGGATAGAAGTTCTTCGGCTTTATCTGCCCCTTTACGACCGACCACTGCATTCTCCTAAAATTGTTTGCCGTCAGAAAAGTATGTGGAGCATCTGTACTTGCCAATCTACTATTTTTACAAGAAATTGGGATAGCTTCAATCCACTAACTCATGAGTAGATACAAAATGGCGACTAATATAGTGCACATTTCAATTCATTTCACATAAATTTCTTTCTCCCCAACTTTTGCTGAAGAACTTTACGATTAGATACACTAATTATGATTGATTGGTAGCATTCAAACCAAGAGAAATTCGCGCCCAATTGAATTGCATCTGCGCAAGGCTCTTTGGATGCTAAACAATATTTGTCTTGGCTACGATGTATTGACAGCTCTACGTCCATTTTCACCACGAAACAGGTCAAAACTCGTCAGTAATAAATATGAGCTGTTACGAAACGATCTAACTTTGTTAGGTCCTTTTCTTTCGCTTATAATTTCTACCTTGATTTCAACGATTTCTACAATGATTGGAGTTTAGCTGTAATTAATATTTTCATTTTCTCGCACTTTGCGTTGCGTCATTTTCTTGTGAATGACTTATATTAGATTCGTGAAGTGAATCACGGAGAATCGTCCGTATGAATAAAAGTAAGCAAATGCTTATACTTACAAAATTCAAAGTAAATACCTACTCGTAAGTGCTCCTTCGCACTGGGCGACTTAGCAGCGCTTCTAAGCAGAAGGACAGGACGCAGTGCAGCGCTGCTAAACCATGCTAAACAGACCAGTATGAAGGGGCAGTTACGAGTATTTACTTTGAATTTTGCAAGTATAAGCATTTGCTTACTTTTATTCATACGGGCCATTGTTCTGAAATATTTCGTTATAAATTGCCGGTTTTATGTAGAACCATTTTTTGTAATTATTGACGCACCATCTCAGTTCAAATTGAATTTGAATTTGTTGTTGATTCCTTCTACTTTGTAATTTGTGGTTTAGTTTAGTACTGAAAATTGTACGGAAGTTCCAACTGAAAATACGAGGGAAAATGAAAAACTAAATTGAAATACATCTACGGTATAATTGTAATTGAACCGTCCATCTTCAAAATCGTTCAAAATGCGTCACTTATTATTCTATCAGAAATTCAGATGAAGTTGTTAGGTTTAAGCATTGAATAAAAACACTGTTTTATTTAATGGTTTAAGCAAATTCTAATGAATGTGAATAAAAACAATTTTCAGTTATCACTTCGAAGTTCTACGTGATAAAAATTCATGTTTTTTAGTAGTTTTACTTATACTATTTTGCAATATCCGTTTATTAGATTGATTGTATCACTGTGACTTTCTCGAAAATGAGTTTTAAAGAGTCACAGAGAATATCTTTTTTTGGAGCAAATAGTTTATAGATAACATCTTCTGTACCTATGATTTTTAGAGCGTTTTTGATTCTCAAAAAGGAGCTTATTGTTTCACTAACCGTCGGCTGTTCGGACGCCTTTATTAATCGATCGAGATCTCGGCAACGAACTATCATGAAATTTCGGGTTTTCCCTATCATATTCTTACTATCGTGTTATTCGTGCATCACTTAGTCTGAAACTGCTGAAATCCATTCCTGAACTAGATATTTTATGCATTTCCTTTAAATGTGTTCAAATAAGGAAATAGAATATCCGAGAGAATATCGTAGTGTGTGTATGAATATCAGATTTTTCGTTTAATAAAATAATTATCCGGTCTTAATCGTTAGCAAGTCATGGGCCACATGGTTAATTTCAACTAAACTGAGTACCTACTCTGAATAGAGACTACAGTAATATTTACATAATTCGTTGTTAAATGTTAAAATGTCATCGCCGTCAAACCAAATTTTCAAATTAAAAAATCGAAGGGTCGAGAGAACGTTGCCGATTGAAATTTGCTGGACAGGCATATTTGGATCACGAAGGTCTGTTTAAGCACATAGTAAATGAAACACCTGTCGAGGTAACTTCAATTTACGTCGACTCAGTATATGCATCAATTCCGACTAAGTTGAAGCGGTGAAAGAAGCTAGGAAACCTGGAAGGAAACATTAATAAAAAAAACAGCCGATTTATGGACAAATCTGTGTACGAATATAATGGTTTGATGCAGGGAATCCGCTCTGTATCGACAATTTAATCCGATTCGCTTTATGAATTGTGAATCGACCGACACGCCACACAAGATTAGCGCCATTCGCTGGGCGATTCCGGATTTTTTGTTATAAACCGTCGTAATGCACGGTTTACCAGAACGTTATGATCCGATGATAATAGCCATCGAACATTCGGGCATTAAAATCACCGCTGAAGCAATGAAAACGAAAGTACTCAATGATGTGAGAGCTACTAATCTGCCTTCCCTTAGGTCTTTTTTTTAATTTCGCAAACAGCTAATAAGTCACTTAGGCCCATAACTGGACCCGAGTCTGAATCATACGGGGGCGAGTACGGGGGAGGGGGGTAATCGATTTGTTCAGAAACTGCAATCAGGAATTGCCGCTTGTGGAACTGTCATGCAGTAAAATATTCAGAATATTCTGCCTTAATTTGTACAGGTGTGTTACATAATAGGCCCGCTCTTTAAAAGTTAATGACAAGAATTATTTTACAATCCCAAATCATCATCTTCCTTGTCGACTGACAAACCCTGACTTAAACGGCGGTGCTTTCCCATTCCATCGACTTCCTGTTGAGGAGTGAGGACCATAGTTTCATCCCAGTCTTTAACACGTCCACAGGGCTCCAAAAAAGATCGAGCATATTTCACCCGACTCTGAACTGCAGAGAGTAGTTTGGGGACCCACCATGCACTAATTTGTTATAGAAAGTCAGGACGGTCACCACATCCACTGCCCTTTCTGTTGTAGGCCATATTCCAAGGATACCCGCGCCACTAGCCCCGAGATTCGCTCAATCAGAACGAGACAGTGAATTTTTCCAATTCAAACAATCTTTAATGTCCTGAGGGGAAACACCTTTTCGAGTAAGGAATTTGATCACAGCTCGGTTTTTGTGACATCTGAAATGTGTTAAACGGGTGAAAATTGTAAGAAAATAACAATTGACAAAAAGTTCATGTTTGTTTTTCTAAGGGTAATAATTAAGACTTGGAAGTTGTGAAAGTTTTGGCTGGCTGCGATCTCTGTATCTATGTCAGGTCGCGAATTTTTGGCGCGATCCTAGTACAACGACTTTGAATTCTGAGAATAATAAACCCCAATGTGTTGATCGTTTTACCGTATCGTTTGTGTGGTAGGAAGATGGCTCGATGTTATGGCACAGACAAAGTACACTCCTAGGTCCTCGATTATTTTCACCCCACAGTGCAGACTAATGTGGTAGTCTACTGCAGTGGATTACGTTTTCGAGAGTAAATCATAATCCACCTACCCTTTCGAAACATTCATAGTGTCAAAGTCAAACTGTCAAAGTCTCTTTTTCCATTGGTCAATATCTTCGGTGAACTACGAACTACCAGCGCGAACGCGGGCAAAAAAGTTTATAAATCGGCCTGTATGCTGCAAGATTCAGTGTGGTCCTAACAAATCAATGATGGTGTTTCGACAGCTGGGATGGAAATCGGTTGATAGTTAATTAGCCGAAATTATATCATTTGCAAATAGTTAGCATTGCGTATACCTCCACGTATAAGTACGTACATTTTTCTTAATATTTATGCAGGCTCTTGGTTGCTTTGTATTTTGTATGGGAGAGTTTCCTAAATTTTAAG